GTGTGTGGGTTGTGTGTGTGACGATGTTGTGTGTGTTGAGATTGTGTGGCGCTTGTGTGTGTGTGCTTGTGTGTGCTGTGATTTGTGCGGATATCAGTGTGTGTGTATTATTAGCAGTCAGATTTCTCCAGCTGCTCTCACGCTGCGCTCTGATTGGTTCTCACTCTGAATATTTACAAATGTATTTAACACGTGATATTTTTATAATCTGTATCCTAAATGAAATATAAATATAAAATATATTCTTTAATGATCATTAATATAAAGTCACCTGTTCGTAGGTCCACACGGCGCTGGCCAGCTCCACACAGAAGACCAGCAGCAGACTGCAGAAATACTACACGCACACACACACACACACACACACACACACACACACACACACACACACACACACACACCACACACACACACACACACACACGGTGAACTTTTGACCTCCTCTCATCATCGTCCATCACACACACTTCACTTTCAGGGACATCTTATCTGTAGAGACACCTGTCCCCCCCCCCCTCAGATGAACACCCCCCCTCAGGTGAACACACCCCCTCAGGTGAACACACCCCCCCCCGCCCTCACGTGACCGGGGGCCGTTCTCATTTCATCAAATTCCCCTCCTCGACTCCCCTCCTCGAGACTTAGTCCCGCCCACAGGAAATGCGAGCGGAGGAGCCGAGGAGGGGAAAAAGTTGTATCTTCAAGTATTAAAAGTAAGCAGAGGACACCAAACCAACTGAGACCTGTCTGTCCGCTGCATCTACGCACACACTGTACCACACACACCTACACCACACACACACTGTACCACACACACACCTACACACTGTACCACACACACACCTACACCACACACACACACACACCTACAGCTCCTAAAGCATATCATCAGGCTACAGCCGTTGTGTATTTTATTTTGTGAAGCACTAAATGGTTTTAGAAACATCTGGACTCTTTGTTTGTAGATATCTACTAAACTAAAGCAAATAAAGAGAGTAGGCCTGTTATACTGAGTGATATATATTATACACACTGCTCTGCTTTCTGCACGGACCTCACAGCTGTTCTCTCTGGAAACATCGCGTCGCGATGAAAGCAGTTACTAAAATAATATCCAGGGGATGCATGCAGAGCTGTGATTGGCTGAGATCAGTCCGGCTGTGCGTCACGACTCTTTGAAACATCTCTGTTCCCGGAAATGCATCCACGAAGGAGCCGTGGAGGACCGTGGAGGACCCATCAGTGTCTCCTCGGTTAGAGCTCCTCCAGAGAGCCTCCTCCACGCTCGATGCTCGGTCCTCGATGTGCATTTAGAGAAATTAGATGTCCTTCACATGGCGCGCTAAAATTCATTTCCGGGTCACTACCAAACCGGAGGACCGAGGAGTCGAGGAGGGGGATTTGATGACATGAGAACGGCCCCATGTGTGTGAGATACAATCTACTGCAGAGTATACCTAATCTAATATAGTAAATATGTTCACAGAACACCTGCAGTGAAGATTAAGGTTATATATCTAAACTAACAACTAACTAACTATCTAACTAACAACTAACTAACTAACTAACAAACGAACTAACCAACTAACTATCTATCTAACAAACGAACTAACCAACTAACTAACTAACTATCTAACTAACTAACTATCTATCTATCTATCTAACTAACTAACTATCTAACTAACTAACTAACTAACTAACTAACTAACTAACTAACTATCTAACTAACAAACTAACCAACTAACTAACTAACTAACTATCTAACTAACAAACTAACTAATAAACTAACTAACTAACTAACTATCTATCTATCTAACTAACTAACTAACTATCTAACTAACTATCTAACTAACTAACTAACTAACTATCTAACTAACTAACTAACTAACTAACTATCTAACTAACTAACTATCTAACTAACAAACTAACTAACTATCTAACTAACTAACTAACTAACTATCTATCTAACTAACTAACTATCTATCTATCTATCTAACTAACTAACTAACTATCTAACTATCTAACTAACTAACTAACTAACTATCTAACTAACAAACTAACCAACTAACTATCTATCTAACTAACTAACTATCTATCTATCTATCTATCTATCTAACTAACTAACTATCTAACTAACAAACTAACTAACCAACCAACTAACTAACTAACAAACTATCTAACTAACTAACTATCTAACTAACTAACTAACTATCTATCTAACTAACTAACTAACTAACTATCTAACTAACAAACGAACTAACCAACTAACTAACTAACTAACTAACTAACTAACTAACTAACCCTAACCACCTGCAGGTTTACTGTGAGCTGAACTCAGGAGAGAAAGAACTCTATGTTTATTATTTATACAATTATAACGTGCAGTTACGTATCTGCTCTCTAGTTACTATCTGCTCTCTAGTTACTATCTGCTCTCTAGTTACTATCTGCTCTCTAGTTACTATCTGCTCTCTCTAGTTACTATCTGCTCTCTAGTTACTATCTGCTCTCTCTAGTTACTATCTGCTCTCTAGTTACTATCTGCTCTCTAGTTACTATCTGCATCTGCTCTCTAGTTACTATCTGCATCTGCTCTCTAGTTACTATCTGCTCTCTCTAGTTACTATCTGCTCTCTAGTTACTATCTGCTCTCTAGTTACTATCTGCTCTCTAGTTACAATCTGCTCTCTAGTTACTATCTGCATCTGCTCTCTAGTTACTATCTGCTCCACTAATCACTGCTCTCTAGTTACTATCTGCTCTCTAGTTACTATCTGCTCTCTAGTTACTATCTGCTCTCTCTAGTTACTATCTGCTCTCTAGTTACTATCTGCTCCACTAATCACTGCTCTCTAGTTACTGTCTGCTCTCTAGTTACTGTCTGCTCTCTAGTTACTATCTGCTCTCTAGTTACTATCTGCTCTCTAGTTACTGTCTGCTCTCTAGTTACTGTCTGCTCTCTAGTTACTATGTGTAGTTACATGATGTGTTTACATGATGTGTTTACATGGTGTGTTACATGTGTTTACATGATGTGTTTACATGATGTGTTACATGATGTGTTACATGATGTGTTTACATGATGTGTTACATGATGTGTTACATGAAGTGTTTACATGATGTGTTTACATGATGTGTTTACATGATGTTACGATGTGGTTACATGAGTGTGTTACTGATGTGTTACTGATGTGTTACATGATGTGTTTACATGATGTGTACATGATGTGTTACATGATGTGTTACATGATGTGTTTACATGATGTGTTACATGATGTGTTTACATGATGTGTTTACATGATGTGTTTACATGATGTGTTACATGATGTGTTTACATGATGTGTTTACATGATGTGTTTACATGATGTGTTTACATGATGTGTTTACATGTGTTTACATGATGTGTTTACATGTATTTACATGATGTGTTACATGATGTGTTTACATGATGTGTTTACATGATGTGTTTACATGATGTGTTTACATGATGTGTTACATGATGTGTTTACATGATGTGTTACATGAAGTGTTTACATGATGTGTTTACATGATGTGTTTACATGATGTGTTACATGATGTGTTACATGATGTGTTTACTGATGTGTTACATGATGTGTTTACATGATGTGTTTACATGATGTGTTACATGATGTGTTTACATGATGTGTTACATGATGTGTTACATGATGTGTTACATGATGTGTTACATGTGTTACAATGATGTGTTTACAGATTGTATGTGTTTACATGATGTGTTACATGATGTGTTACATGATGTGTTTACTGATGTGTTACATGATGTGTTTACATGATGTGTTACATGATGTGTTACATGATGTGTTACATGATGTGTTACATGATGTGTTTACATGATGTGTTACATGATGTGTTTACATGATGTGTTACATGATGTGTTTACATATGTGTTAGCATGATGTGTTACATGTGTTTACATGATGTGTTTACATGATGTGTTTACATGATGTGTTACATTATGTGTTACTCGACTCCCCTCCTCGAGACTTAGTCCCGCCCACAGGAAATGCGAGCGGAGGAGCCGAGGAGGGGAAAAAGTTGTATCTTCAAGTATTAAAAGTAAGCAGAGGACACCAAACCAACTGAGACCTGTCTGTCCGCTGCATCTACGCACACACTGTACCACACACACCTACACCACACACACACTGTACCACACACACACCTACACACTGTACCACACACACACCTACACCACACACACACACACCTACAGCTCCTAAAGCATATCATCAGGCTACAGCCGTTGTGTATTTTATTTTGTGAAGCACTAAATGGTTTTAGAAACATCTGGACTCTTTGTTTGTAGATATCTACTAAACTAAAGCAAATAAAGAGAGTAGGCCTGTTATACTGAGTGATATATATTATACACACTGCTCTGCTTTCTGCACGGACCTCACAGCTGTTCTCTCTGGAAACATCGCGTCGCGATGAAAGCAGTTACTAAAATAATATCCAGGGGATGCATGCAGAGCTGTGATTGGCTGAGATCAGTCCGGCTGTGCGTCACGACTCTTTGAAACATCTCTGTTCCCGGAAATGCATCCACGAAGGAGCCGTGGAGGACCGTGGAGGACCCATCAGTGTCTCCTCGGTTAGAGCTCCTCCAGAGAGCCTCCTCCACGCTCGATGCTCGGTCCTCGATGTGCATTTAGAGAAATTAGATGTCCTTCAACATGGCGCGCTAAAATTCATTTCCGGGTCACTACCGGAGGACCGAGGAGTCGAGGAGGGGGATTTGATGACATGAGAACGGCCCCATGTGTGTGAGATACAATCTACTGCAGAGTATACCTAATCTAATATAGTAAATATGTTCACACCTGCAGGGTTAAGGTTATATATCTAACTAACTAACTAACTAACTATCTAACTAACAAACTAACTAACTAACTAACAAACGAACTAACCAACTAACTATCTATCTAACAAACGAACTAACCAACTAACTATCTAACTAACTAACTATCTATCTATCTATCTAACTAACTAACTATCTAACTAACTAACTAACTAACTAACTAACTAACTAACTAACTAACTAACTAACTAACTAACTATCTAACTAACAAACTAACCAACTAACTAACTAACTAACTATCTAACTAACAAACTAACTAATAAACTAACTAACTAACTAACTATCTATCTATCTATAGATATACTATCTGCTCCACTAATCACTGCTCTCTAGTTACTGTCTGCTCTCTAGTTACTGTCTGCTCTCTAGTTACTATCTGCTCTCTAGTTACTATCTGCTCTCTAGTTACTGTCTGCTCTCTAGTTACTGTCTGCTCTCTAGTTACTATCTGCTCTCTAGTTACTATCTGCTCTCTAGTTACTATCTGCTCTCTAGTTACTATCTGCTCTCTAGTTACTATCTGCTCTCTAGTTACTATGTGCTCTCTAGTTATTATCTGCTCTCTAGTTACTATGTGCTCTCTAGTTACTGTCTGCTCTCTAGTTACTGTCTGCTCTCTAGTTACTGTCTGCTCTCTAGTTACTGTCTGCTCTCTAGTTACTATCTGCTCTCTAGTTACTATGTGCTCTCTAGTTACTATCTGCTCTCTCTAGTTACTATCTGCTCTCTAGTTACTATCTGCTCTCTAGTTACTATCTGCTCTCTAGTTACTATCTGCTCTCTAGTTACTATCTGCTCTCTAGTTACTGTCTGCTCTCTAGTTACTATCTGCTCTCTAGTTACTATGTGCTCTCTAGTTACTGTGTGCTCTCTAGTTACTGTCTGCTCTCTAGTTACTATCTGCTCTCTAGTTACTATCTGCTCTCTAGTTACTATCTGCTCTCTAGTTACTGTCTGCTCTCTAGTTACTATCTGCTCTCTAGTTACTATCTGCTCTCTAGTTACTATCTGCTCTCTAGTTACTATGTGCTCTCTAGTTACTATCTGCTCTCTAGTTACTATGTGCTCTCTAGTTACTATCTGCTCTCTCTAGTTACTATCTGCTCTCTAGTTACTATCTGCTCTCTAGTTACTATGTGCTCTCTAGTTACTATCTGCTCTCTAGTTACTATCTGCTCTCTAGTTACTATGTGCTCTCTAGTTACTATCTGCTCTCTCTAGTTACTATCTGCTCTCTAGTTACTATCTGCTCTCTAGGTACTATGTGCTCTCTAGTTACTATCTGCTCTCTAGTTACTATGTGCTCTCTAGTTACTATCTGCTCTCTCTAGTTACTATCTGCTCTCTAGTTACTATGTGCTCTCTAGTTACTATCTGCTCTCTAGTTACTATCTGCTCTCTAGTTACTATCTGCTCTCTAGTTACTATCTGCTCTCTAGTTACTATCTGCTCTCTAGTTACTATCTGCTCTCTAGTTACTATGTGCTCTCTAGTTACTATCTGCTCTCTAGTTACTATCTGCTCTCTAGTTACTATCTGCTCTCTAGTTACTGTCTGCTCTCTAGTTACTATCTGCTCTCTAGTTACTATGTGCTCTCTAGTTACTATCTGCTCTCTAGTTACTATCTGCTCTCTAGTTACTATCTGCTCTCTAGTTACTATCTGCTCTCTAGTTACTATGTGCTCTCTAGTTACTATCTGCTCTCTAGTTACTATCTGCTCTCTAGTTACTATCTGCTCTCTAGTTACTATCTGCTCTCTAGTTACTGTCTGCTCTCTAGTTACTATCTGCTCTCTAGTTTACTATGTGCTCTCTAGTTACTATCTGCTCTCTAGTTTACTATCTGCTCTCTAGTACTATCTGCTCTCTCTAGTTACTATCTGCTCTCTAGTTACTATCTGCTCTCTAGTTACTATGTGCTCTCTAGTTACTATGTGCTCTCTAGTTACTATCTGCTCTCTCTAGTTACTGTCTGCTCTCTAGTTACTATCTGCTCTCTAGTTACTATGTGCTCTCTAGTTACTATCTGCTCTCTAGTTACTATGTGCTCTCTAGTTACTATCTGCTCTCTAGTTACTATCTGCTCTCTAGTTACTATCTGCTCTCTAGTTACTATCTGCTCTCTCTAGTTACTATCTGCTCTCTAGTTACTATCTGCTCTCTAGTTACTATCTGCTCTCTAGTTACTGTCTGCTCTCTAGTTACTGTCTGCTCTCTAGTTACTATCTGCTCTCTAGTTACTATGTGCTCTCTAGTTACTATCTGCTCTCTAGTTACTATCTGCTCTCTAGTTACTATCTGCTCTCTAGTTACTATCTGCCTCTCTAGTTACTATGTGCTCTCTAGTTACTATTGCTCTTACTATCTGCTCTCTAGTTACTATCTGCTCTCTAGTTACTATCTGCTCTCTAGTTACTGTCTGCTCTCTAGTTACTATCTGCTCTCTAGTTACTATGTGCTCTCTAGTTACTATCTGCTCTCTAGTTACTATCTGCTCTCTAGTTACTATCTGCTCTCTCTAGTTACTATCTGCTCTCTAGTTACTATCTGCTCTCTAGTTACTATGTGCTCTCTAGTTACTATGTGCTCTCTAGTTACTATCTGCTCTCTCTAGTTACTGTCTGCTCTCTAGTTACTATCTGCTCTCTAGTTACTATGTGCTCTCTAGTTACTATCTGCTCTCTAGTTACTATGTGCTCTCTAGTTACTATCTGCTCTCTAGTTACTATCTGCTCTCTAGTTACTATCTGCTCTCTAGTTACTATCTGCTCTCTCTAGTTACTATCTGCTCTCTAGTTACTATCTGCTCTCTAGTTACTATGTGCTCTCTAGTTACTATGTGCTCTCTAGTTACTATCTGCTCTCTCTAGTTACTGTCTGCTCTCTAGTTACTATCTGCTCTCTAGTTACTATGTGCTCTCTAGTTACTATCTGCTCTCTAGTTACTATGTGCTCTCTAGTTACTATCTGCTCTCTAGTTACTATCTGCTCTCTAGTTACTATCTGCTCTCTAGTTACTATGTGCTCTCTAGTTACTATCTGCTCTCTAGTTACTATCTGCTCTCTAGTTACTATCTGCTCTCTAGTTACTATCTGCTCTCTAGTTACTTTGTAACTCTGGCACAACTATTTCCTTCGGGATAAATAAAGTCTTCTTATCTTATTATAACAAATATATATAATAATACAATATAATATATATCTATCTAAATACATCATATGTATATATATGTATATAATGTGATGTGTATATTACCCAGGCCAGCAGCAGCAGGTCTCCCCTCAGAGCGCCACAGAATCCCACCATGGCGATGATGACGAGGAAGCAGCAAACAGAGAGGAGGACGGGATGAAGAGGAGACGAGTAGGAGAGGAGAGCTGCCTCCTCCAGCCTGCACACACACACACACACACACACACACACACACACACACACACACACAGTACAGATGTTTCTCTTATTAAGGATTCAACTAGTCTGCAGAGACCTCGCTATTTACAGTGTGTGTGTGTGTGTGTGTGTGTGTGTGTGTGTGTGTGTGTGTGTGTGTGTGTGTGTGTGTGTGTGTGTGTGTGTGTGTGTGTGTGTGTCTGACCTGGTGTGGGCTGTCAGAGTCAGGACGGAGTTCAGTGGGTCTCTTATCCACGCAGCCACTCCCAGCACACATGCTGACATCAGCTGCACACACACACACACACATACACACACACACACACACACACACACACACACACACACACACACACACACACACACACACACACACACACAGAGATCAGTTTCTGCTGCCTGTAAATAACCCTCAGAATGTGAGGCTCGCTCTGTGGCCTACTTTCCTTTAACTCTGTTTATCTTAACATATATCATATATAACGTTTTTTACAAAACAAACAGGACACATAAATAAATAAACATAATAAATAAAAACAGGAAATGGGTAATTAGTGTGAGGACTGAAAGCATCACCGTGGGAACGGTCAGTTAAAACACATTATGGGATGTTTTCACATGCTTTTAAACTAAAGGGTAAGTTGAGTTGTTAACTCCCTGAGTGTCATCATGTTAGCCTCTGTGAGGTTTATCACTTATAATAAAGCACTATGACCTTTAACCTTCCAGAAGTGTGAAGCCTAAACCAACATGTGTTTCCCATGAGAACAACATGTATGATATAGCTGTAACACACAGGTTAATCACGTGTTAAATGATCATTAATAATATCATCCTCACCCAGAAGAGCAGGTTGAGCGCGTACAGGAGCACGCGCGCACACCTCACCGCGTCCCGCCGAGCCATCTGCTCACGTGGACCACCATCACCCCCCCAAACACACCTGTCCCCCCCCTGTTCTCGGAGGAGCTCGGGTTTTTCCAGGGACTCTTCCAGAACAACAGGTGGAGAGTTAGAGTCGGAGTTAGAGAATAATAATCCAGAACCCTCAGTCAGAGAGAGTTCATGCGGGAACACATCAAACAACACTACAAAGGTCAAAAAGTTCCAGCAGATCGTCCATAAACTCCCCAAAAGTGCACGTGCACCCGGAGTCCTGACCCTCCTCGCGCGTCTCGGGTCTGCCTGTCTGAGGGGGGGGGGGGGCATCCTCCTCCTTCTTCTTCTTCTTCTTCTTCTTCTTCTTCACTAATTAAATGCGTACAGCAGCAGCAGACCCCACAGAGGAATGTGTCCGCCTCCAGGGTCAGCTGTGTGTGTGTGTGTGTGTGTGTGTGTGTGTGTGTGTGTGTGTGTGTGTGTGTGAGAGAGAGAGAGTATAGTGTTGTGGGGAAGAAGACACACACATCATACATGCCTCTGGTGGCAGGAACACACACACACATGGAAATGTTCAAAAGTATGTGGAAAGTCTCTTAGCATTAGCAACGACTTAGTGTCCACAAATACTAATTAATACATGTTTATTCTTATATTCTTATTATTTTTCCCGGTTATGTTCCATACTATCTGTGTTTATGTCTCATTATGTTGCTTCTCTGACACTTGCATGTCTCTACGGGATGAATAAGGGTCCATTTTATATCATTTTATCTCATTCTGATTCTGAAAAACACATTTAACCGTATTAAACTCCAACTCCCATGAGCCACCTGTCCTCAGAACGTAAAAGAACGTCTCAACGTAGGTTTTAACCAATGAGAACACGGGCAGTCGCTGACGTCACGTCTCTGACCTGGTATTGTTTTCTCAGACAGACAGTGACGGCGCCATATTGGAGAAAAACAACCCGTTCGTTAAAACGAGAAAACCTTCTAACCGCCGCCATGTTGTACCTCGAGGATTACCTGGAGAGTGAGTGCGGGGTTATAACTCATCATTCCCGGGGTTAGAAGCGGGTTTCAGGCTTTAAATCGGTGTGATATCCCGCTCCGTTAGCCGTTAGCTTAGCGCGCTAACTGTTAGCCTAGCATCTATTGTGTCTTTTTTTTAATCTTCATGCGTCATCATTTCCCCGTCAACGAGTTTTAGTCAATCTGCACGGGATTTAGCTTTTCTATGAACCCACCGTATCTGAGTTTATCTGTTTAGCTTCTGTTTGTTTGGACTTATTATTGTTGTTATTATTATTATTATTATTATTCATGTTTATTTTGAGACTTCCGGCCCCTTAGTGCTTCCGGTTTTATTTTGAAATGTACTTTCTCTTTGTGTCTTGTTCTACTTCCTCTCCCCTGCTCACACACACAGTTATACACACACACAGTGATACACACACACAGTTATACACACACACAGTGATACACACACACAGTGATACACACACACAGTTATACACACACACAGTGATACACACACACAGTTATACACACACACAGTGATACACACACACAGTGATACACACAGTTATACACACACACACAGTTATCCACACAGTGATACACGCAGTGATACACACACACACACACACAGTTATACACACACAGTGATACACACACACAGTTATACACACACAGTTATACACACAGTGATACACACACACACAGTGATACACACACACACACACACACACACACAGTTATACACACACACACACACACAGTGATGATAGTGACTCAAGTATTTGTTGTTTATTTGTATTAATTTGTTGTGTTTTTGTTCTGTCTTGTGTTTTTTTGTTTTGTTTATTTATTTGTATTTGTTCAGTGTGTGAGAGACAGGATATTAGTGTGTGTATTATTAGAGATCTGCAGCTGTGCTCTGATTGGCCGGTTTCTCACACCATACTTACATAATTAATTATTTACAGTGAGATATTTTTCATGCTAACTGTTCTTCTGTCTTACTCACACACACACACACACACACACACACACACACACACACACACACAGTGAGATACCCTTCATGCTAACTCTCTCCTCAGTGATCGAGCAGCTACACACACAGTGCTAACTCTCTCTCTCTCCTCAGTGATCGAGCAGCTCCCCATCGACCTGAGGGACCGCTTCACAGAGATGAGGGAGATGGACCTGCAGGTTCAGAGTGAGTACCTGATGCAGAGGAGCCGGGGGAAACACCGGGGGGAGCACTGAGAGGCGTTAACACCTGTAGCGGCTAAATAACACAGAACATTCAGTCAAAGTAAGACTGGGCAGCAGAAAGTGAATCTTATGAAGGAATAATGTTCAATGTCCAGGCAGGAATGTCCTCTGTGCTTTCATCACAATAGTGAACACGGCTTCACCGTCTTCTCCTGTATCTGGTGCTCCTCTCCCACCACCACCTGCCTCCTATATATATATACATATATATACATATACACACCCAGGCTCTGTTCCTCACTGATATTATATTGATCCCTCCAGACGCCACGGACCAGCTGGAGCAGAAAGTCATCGAGTTCTTCGTCAACGCCAAGAAGAACAAACCGGAGTGGAGAGAGGAGCAGATGGAGGTCATCAAGAAGGTCAGAGACATGCTTCACACACTCCTTAAACCCGCCTCACACACACCTTAAACCCGCCTCACACACACCTTAAACACGCCTCACACACACTTAAACCCGCCTCACACACACCTTAAACCCGCCTCACACACACCTTAAACCCGCCTCACACACACCTTAAACCCGCCTCACACACACCTTAAACACACCCTCACACACACCTTAAACACACCTCACACACCTTAAACCCGCCTCTCACACCTTAAACCCGCCTCACACACACCTTAAACCCGCCTCACACACACCTTAAACCCGCCTCACACACACCTTAAACCCGCCTCACACACACCTTAAACCCACCTCACACACACCTTAAACCCGCCTCACACACACCTTAAACCCGCCTCACACACACCTTAAACACACCTCACACACACCTTTAAACCCGCCCTCACAC